CCAGGCTGTTCTTGTTTGGGCTTTGTTGCGTTGATGGCTTTCTTTGGGGTGGACCCTATCGATTTCATTTGGCGTGCTTGAGGCAGTCCCAGAGAATTTCCGGCGGAGCAAGGCCGGAGGCAGATTGATCATGCAAGAGATCGAGAGGCTCATGTGCCTGGAGCGCCGGATCTACCAAAACAAGAGCATCATGCGCGCTGATGGGACTTTGGATCTCAGAGATCTTCCAATGGACCTCCCGCGCCCAGTGTTTGAGGAGTTGAAGCAGCGTGCCCCAGAGTTCTTTTCGCGGTTCTTTGCCAGCACACGTTCGCGGCAGGAATATGGAAGCAAGGTGCACGGGCTCCTCTTGTCAATTCAGAATCACCTCGGACGCACCCCTCCTGCTCGGGCGTCATTGCGCAGGCTTCTTGCAGACATAGTTTTAGGATCCGTACAGGCACTGTGGGACTCGCAATGACGAGCTTTTCTGCGACAGGTGAGTGCAAGACGAGAAAAACTTTCTGTCAGCGGCAGCGGTTTGGGGGCACTTGGGATGGCAGAAAGTGTGAGAAATGAAAAACCGGTTCGAGGTCGAACAAGGCAAAGGTCGGAACGAAGCCAGGTTTACATGCCTCACCTTCTATTGTTGATTGTGGTTGTAGAAGGTCAGCTCTGTGCATTTCATTTTGTGGGAGTGCAAAATATTTTCCAGGCCCAACCCTTTGATGAGCACCAATCGGGGACTTATATTTTAAGATCATATATGTCGGATGGTTCTCTTTTTTCGAAGGGCCGCCTTAGCGGACAACCCCAGGCTGGAGACTAACGAATGACCCCAGTGAATGCCAGATTGCACTTCAACAGAGATTTTATTCCTGACGTCAACGCTTTGGACTTGGATGGATCAGTCGCAATTCTGACCGGGAATCCAAACATTAAACATGAGCACTTCCATGAATTCCAGGGCTTTCAAACAATACTTGATCAACAAGGTACAACAAGATGTACCTGTAAAAACCCAAGCATCGTAAAGGACCCTTTTGAGCAGCGCAAGGGCAAAATCTTGAATTTTTCGTACCGTGCTGTTTTTCCTTACGAACTTCACGGTCCTGGGAGACGGCTCGCTCCAAAGGTACTGGTTCGACGGAACCCCTCGAAATTCAGGGGGGAGAAGCGCCGGTGGCACCCAGGCGGATGCGGATGGCAGGGTTCGGGAAGGCCCCTTTTGCAGAAAACGCTAGTAAGAATCCCTGGATCTGGTGTGTTCATGCATTCGTTTTCAGGTCTAGTCGAGGATGGGTTTTGAAGAATGTTTGCAGCGTGTTGGCAGCCAAAGACACACGCGATTCAGTTCCAAGTTGTTCAACGACTGCCGTTTAACATCGTTTAACACACTGCTGTTTTAAGTGTTGTTTTTTGGTAGGTCGCTGGAATGGATGGACAGTGGGAAAAGGCAACTGGTTGTGTGTGTTTGTGGCAAAGTCCATTGCAAACCCAATGGCCTGGTGTTCCAATAAATTTGCCGTTTGGATTCTCGAATGTGTTTCTCAGGTTGCTATAGCTATTCTCTGTATGACTCCAGTCTCGCACACCACCCTCGCACCTGGGTGACGTGGTGATCTGAAGCTAAGGACTGGAAGATTTGGATGAGTCGGAGGAGGACATGTTTGGAGTGACGGACGATGCTTCTGGTGACGGAGCATGTTTGGACTTTCGCGGGGGGATTGAAGGGGCCGGGGACAAAATTATTTGCACGCGATCTTGCAGGTGCTGTTCATCCACTCTTTCATTCAACGGAGTTCAACAAGTTTTGTTTGTTGGGGTATCTAGGGACTTCCAGTCTTGTTTGGATGGTTCATGTGTTTGGGGCTTACCACTTATAGTGGATGGAGAGGAGATGCCACAATCCCCAAAAGGTTGTTTATATGGACCCCGATCTAAAAGACATCTTGGGGGTTGTGCCATCTACTCTGAAGCCACTGTACTTGTTTTGGACGTCCCGTCCAACAGTATGTCAGACATTTGTCTCAGGGCAACGTTTTGGCACCCAAAAGCTGGCGTTACACTCCTTGGAATGATCATGGAAGTGGCAAAATGGCCGGATGATGACGACCATTTTCCTGTACAAACAGGTGCTTTCCCACTTTCATGATATTTTAAGGTGAGGGTACCTGGCGACCTGACTTTGCTGAGCAGGACGAGCCCAACGAGGCGTCCTCGGCGCCGTGGAAGGGCGCCCAGCGAAGCTCTGCGAGGAGGGAGACGCCCGCCGAGCCCGGGGCGCTCAGCGGGTTGGGGAGCGGTGGGCCACGGCAGAGACGACAGGAGGGAGAAGCAGAAGCGCATGAAGGAAAGCGATACCCCCCTATATCTAGACATGGTAAATGATGAGACATGTATTTATTTGACTTTCACTGTTCTGGTGTTTTTGTAGATGATGTTTGTTTAGCCCACCAATTAGGTCGAAGCTAAGGTGGCCCAGGAGGTGAAGGAAAGTTTGTCACAGTTGGGTTCTGGGACGCTTGAAGTGGGTGTGGGGTGAAGACCTATCACTGTTTCCTATGTTCACCGGTGAGTGGCCAACCCTCAATTGGTTCCCCTATGCTGACCACAAACAGGCGGAAGAAGGTGAAACCTTGTTTCCCTGGGACACTGAAGGGGTCAGTGATCAGTAGAAGAGACAGAACCAGCTACACAATTTTACATATACAATCAAAGTAATAGAACATTGCTCTTTGCTCAACATGTCAAATCAGAGTCTAGCAAAGCCATTCCCCCACAACATCCCACAACATACTTTAAACAGGCATCCAACACAAAAAACTAAACAATCTCGCCAGCAAGGAAGCCCGAAATCTACCAACAAAGACAAGAACACAGTAACTTCAGTCAAGAAATGAACCAAGACACACGCTTGCAAAAATAACTCAAATGAAGCTTGGATACGTCTTCACACCAGGTTATAGACATGGTTATAAGTGTTCACACATGTCTATGTCTTAATGAACTCACTGAACACATGTGAGTTTCCCACCATAAGAAGACCATGAAACCGACACCACGTCCTAAGGCGTCGGGCGCGGCTCTTCTTGGCCGAGCAGCTGCGAGCCAGCGACCAAGCCGGCGACCAAGTGATCGGTTGACACCGGAAGAGGCACCACACATCCTATATAGGTGGTCCCCCAAAAGATCGAATTTTTCGTGGGGATCTACTTTGACTGTTTCTTTGGGGGTCTCTATAGGCCACACGTTGATTACCACACCCCCCCATTAGTGGAGACGAACAACCATTCTGGAGATGGGGGGTTTGATGGGGGGTTTGATGCATGAGTTGACTGTTGACGAATCAACCCCCCCAAGAGGATTGCAAGTTTGCTGGAGCCCTCATGACCCGTGGCAGCGGCACGGAGTTGGCCCAGCACTGTTTGGAGTGCGCGCCGCTACACAAAACCAAGACATGCCAGGGCATCCCCAGTGAATGTTTCTATAAGATTTTATAGAATGCCCGGCAAGTGATCCCCAGCATCATCAAAAGGAATACCAAAGACCATCCAAGACCTTTGTACTGGCTTGACCAGCTATTCCCATTGTTCTTCTTTGGCTTGCGCTTTTGCAAATTTCCGGTCTGATCAACCACGCATGACCACAGGAGCCCAAGAGGCAAACATCTATCAAAGCCGAGGATGAGCAGGTCCAATGACAAAGGTCCTCCACTTTTGGGTTTGTGATGACCATTCCAAGTGGATCACAGCTACCGCAATATAGGCAACTATATATTTTCTAGGTAGTCTATGGATGTCTATGTTGCTAGCCTTTACAGAAATACTTTTGACCACCGGATCCACTGGAATGGATTACTCTAAGCCGACCAAATATCTCAAGCCTTGGTTTCTTAGGACTTACACGGTAAGCATGAAACTCTGGCCACATGCAAATGAACAATTCAAAAGTGCCAAATGAAAGTGCTCGCAGACAACGTCACGCAGCCTGTCCCGGCGCAGCCATGAATCAAAAACCTGTCAGTGGAGCACGTTTCGCCTGTCCCCGCTCTCAGGAGCACGAAGACTACGAGCGCCGCAGCCGGGAGTTGTTGAAGAAGCATCAGCAACTGCTCCAAGAGCCCGGGCGGCTCAGTGCCATACTCACGTTGCGTCATGTGTCGGAATGAGTGCGTACTACTACGGCCAGTGGATATAAGAGATCCTTTGGATGCCCTGAAACACATGCAAGAGGTTGCATGAGTTGCTGAAGTTGGGGTATCTAAGCATTTCATTTACAGTACGGCGGTAGGGGAGCACCCAAAAGCCTAACAGTTGGGAATCGGGAACAAACTCATTTTGACTTTTGACAGCCATCGAGTGCAGAGATCCATTGGGATTCTAGATGATTCTAGATCCGCTGGACTCGCATCGATTGTCAGTGTTAGCTTGCAGTGTGCTTTGTCAGATCCACCCAAAAAAAAAACGTATTGCTTTGCACAGTTTGTAATGCATCTCCTAGGTATCAGATTTACATAGATTTACCCAGGTATGTTACTTCAAGATCTTCGATATCATAAGAAGGTGTTTGAAACGTGTTTGCCACAGGAAAGCCGGCTAGTTGATGTGACCATGATGCGAACCCCTCACATGATCTCTCATCGATCTATTTTTTTAGGACACGGTTTGAGAACACATCATAATGATGGGATGTCGATAGCAGGGCCATGAGGGCCAAGGCCGTGGCCCGTGGCATAAGACCGGACTCCAGTTCCTGCCATCCGTTTGTTCCGGTGTAGTGTAGTAGCGGCGATGCCGGATTCCGGGTCTGAAGCAACCGCCTGGGTTCGTTTCTTTGTTTTTGTTTGCTTCAATGCATCCGAGCTTTGCCAGGGTTACTAGCATCAGAAACATGACGAAGAATTGCTGATAAAGGCCCTTTCAGAAAAGCAGCATAATCATGACAGCTATCCGCATAGAATAGACCCCATCAATGCAACCAAATCAACTCAATGCTTTGGCCTCCAACTTCACAGGCCTATGGCCACACACTACTCCGCTGGCGCCTCAGCGGCCTCGGGTGTCCTGGCGGCTGAGCTACGCTGCGACAGACAAGCCGAGACGGGCAGATCGGCAGATCGGGACCTTCCGGTCACCACCAACAGGTCTGAGGTCAAGTCTCCAACAGGGCAGGTCTGCACTCGACCTCAGAGCTGGGAGAGTGTCTCCAGGTCTTGGGCATCCGACGGAGCGCCACGGTGGAGGAGATACAACAAGCCTTCAAGGTACACGAGCCTCGTTCGCGATGGCTGTCCAAAGCCGGGCCCAATGTATCAAGAGCCTTTGGATGTGTGGCATATAGCGGCTTTTTTGCGGCATAGCCGGCTTTCTCTCCCGAAGAGGGTCGAAGATGACGTTCCAAAGAAATCCACGAGGATCCTTGGGTGGGGGCCAAGTAGGTGGTTAGCAGCAACTGACACGGCTGGGATGGGATTGGAATGAGAAAGACTTGCACGGACGTGTTTTTTCCAAATCCATCAGGAAGTAACTACACATGGTCCCACGAGTGCCCTCGGTCGCATTCTCGCGGTTGAGTTGGGGTCTAGTAACGGCATATGTAAGTGTTATATGTGGTTTCACTATGGGAGGGGTTGATGCACGGCACTGCCCCCCCCACAAAATCGGCAACATAGCCTTAAGATCCGAATCCAACCAGCGTCTCGACGTACCACTTGGAAGGAAGGGGCATGTTCGGTTTCCAACTGGTGTACCCTTGGACTCACTACTGTAACATGCAAGTGGACAATTGCCTTTGGGAAGACTCTTTTCCCCTATCAACAGGGTTGGTCATCCACTTCCGTTTGGCCGTTTGGCCTCGGCGTTCGTTTGTTCGTTGACTTTGGTGCCTACCACTCCGCGGCACCGCACGGCGCGGATCACGGGGCCAGGCCTTGTGCAAGCTCTACCACCCGGACAAGGTCGCGACCACGCGGACCACCCGGACGGACGCGATCTTCTGGAAGGGCCACGGATAATGCAGAATGAAGCACTAGTCACTAGTCCTTGTGGTCTTGCCTGGAAACTTCGGAAGCTGACATCATATGAGCTTGTCCCAACCATGAGCACATGCTGACTGAAATGAGCAAAACTAAAGCCGGCGTGTTTGGGAGAAGCCCATGTTGACATGAACCGTAACAGGTCGATCTTTGCTTTTCGTTACCCATCAAATCTCTATGGAACAGACCACAGCGGACCTATTGGTAAGATTGCTGGTGGACAAGAGTTTGGTGTTGCATTTGTTGGGATGACAAGGTGGAGCCTGGCCATGCTGGCACTGAGCGTGCCGCGCGGGAGAGGGCCATGGTGGGGAGGCCCAGATGGGGCAAGGCCGCCGGTTTGGGCGACTCTCCACCATCCTCCACTCTTGGGGCGTGGAATGGGATGGGCCCTGGAATCCACCTGTAACTTTCCCAGGGTGACCGAAGTGGAACGCTTACCTCAGCTTAATGTAGACTCTTGATAAAAAATAACCCCCCCATATGAAGAGGATGTCCCATTCAAACGGGTCGGTTTATTAATCAAGAGTCGACAGTATACCGTTTTCAGAGAAGCTTCGTCATCCGCAATATGGTAAGCTGCTCTGACGAGGTGAAACCCTCGTGGAACTCCGGGAGCCCCGACTTCCTTCGGGCTTCCCCGCCCCGAACCGAAGACTCGCCCCGAGCCGAAGGAGGAGGCTGATTCGGAGTCCGATTTGGAGCCAAAGGTCATTTTTCGACGAAGGAACACCCAGACCCGGGTTGGTCCAGCTAGAGGTGGTGCAGAGTTTGGATTCGGCTTCTCCATCCGGGTTGCTGGGAGGGTTGCGCCGGTTGAGCTGTTTGTTTCTGTAGTCACTCAGTGATCTTAGTGTGGGGAAGAGAGCCCAATAGAAACTCCCAAGTTTAGGCTGTTCACTAGGCTAGATTCTAGATGCATTACGTGTTTGCGCCACACAGTCCCCAGCACCTCAATTGGGAAAGGATTATTTGCGTTACTTGCTACCATGTACTACCAATTACTACCATCATCCTCCATGATATTGAGCCTACAGAATGGTGGGGGTTAACCCTCCTACAGAATGCACATTTGGTAGTAAAGGGGTTTGGTCGAACGACCCCTGTGGTTGGGATGCCAGGATTTTGTAGGCAGCAAGAGGGTTGGGTGTACTTGTTTAGTAGGGAAAAGAGAGTGCATGATTTGTGGGTTGGGTGTACTTATTTGGTAGGGGAGGTCCTTCATTTTGTAAGGAATCATAATGGATGGATATGGGTGGTCAAAAACTATATAGTAAGTTATAGTATCTTAGTATCTCTTTCCCCTACAACATATTCTATGAACTAGGTTAGGCAACCCTTAGGACCATTTCCTTTGAAAACGCATACTATTCAAGCAATCTTAAACTTAGATCTTTTCAAATATGTTTTTAAACGGCTTAAAACATCAATGGAAGACAGGGGGAGAGGAGAAAAAGTGTAGAAAAAGCTAGTTAATGTTTAATTCTTAGTGATTTTCCTGGTCATATTCCTTCAGTTCCTGTTTTCCATTGATGTTTCAAGAGTTTTGAGACCATTTCTTGAAATTTAGGATTTTTTTGAAAAATGATGAAAATACCATAATGTCTAGACAGTTTCCTGGTCAAATTCACTACCGAATGAGTAGGCCCTTCCAGACGGCGTCCCATTTTGTACCAATCAGTGACCTTGGCCCCCTCCATTTTGTATAATGGCCTACCCCCTCCCTACAAAATGAGTCCATTTTTGTTGGAGTCATTTTGTAGGGATGGGACGTTGGTCGCTGACATTTTGTAGTGATTTTTACTGCCAAATAGGGACCCCGACCCCTCACCCTGAATATCAAGGATGATCTACCATCTAACTAACAGCATCCAACACCAAGCACCGCCACCGCCCAGGCCCAGCTCAACGAGGCTCATGCAGTGCTCAGCTCCGAAAAGCGCTGGGCCTACGACCGGCAGCTGCTTTCGGCAGAGAAGGCTGGCGCCGAACCAGTCGTAGTGAGTGGGGGTGGGTTAAGTTGTATAGATTGGGTGAACCAGTCGGACGAGTTCCATTAGGGGTAGCAAGTTGGGATCCCGTAGTTCCAGTGAATCTTTGTGAATCTGTGATGTTGGATGGATTGTTCTTGCATTGGGATGGAGATCAAGTTACTTGTTCATCACCAGGTGCTGATAGACCAGTTTTGCACACCTGGACCTTGATGTCCCAGTGCATGCCAAGTCACGTATATAGTCCCCGCAGTTTGGGGGCTAGCGCACCCTTGTTCCACCAGAAAATGTCACATCAGGGAAGCCCTTGGAGCGGGATGGTGGTTGCACCCTTCTAGATAGCTATAGAATGCTATAGACAGCTCCTATCCATTCGCGGCGCGCACCTTCAGCAAATTTGGAGGATTCCATCCGATAAAACAACAGTTTGTGAAGGTTCAATCTGTGGTCCGCCTCCAGCTTCTTCCGATAAAATCCCTTTCAGTGGTGTGCAGAGGTAATTACTGAACAATTTGGCCTTTGTCCGCAGGGATCAAGACCTTTGTGGGGCACTGAAGAAACATGAAGAAACAATTGAGGCACCAAATGCCGGAACATGTCCCACAATGTCACAATGTAGAGATTTTGATGAATAAAGGACCCCATATGAAGAGCTTTTGCAATCCAACCGGGGGCCCGGAACCCGGGTGTTGAATCAAGCCTTCTTCTTTGCGGGAGGGTGTAGGTAGCAGCTAGGTCCACCAGTGCCGCGGTGTCCCAGGTGGAGCCGGAGGAGGCCACGGCTGTGGGACCCAAACCCGCGCCGAGTCGAGTGCTTTGAGTGCTCTGCGCTGATCCCATAGGGTCACCACCTAGACCAAGAGCTTTAAGAGCTTGGAGAATGGTCAGATCACATATCAGCAGCGGGCTGATCCAATTGAAGTGCTACTGCGGTCAGAAAAGCAGTCAACCTAACCCCCTGATGTCTCCACTGTTGCTCTAGAGGAAATGGTCAACAGGTAAAGCCAGCAACCCACGTTCAGACTGTTCTATTCATGGTTCCAATGGTCAACACGTTTTTTTAAAACACGCGGAGTCCACTCACAGTCTCACGGTCTCACAGTCGGATGTCCTTGAGGGAATCCCAAAAAGAGAGCGTTTCAGACCTAGGTCTTGCAAGCGAGGCGTGTCACTCAGACGGAGTCCGTCATGGCCTCAGGGTGCCACCATGGACAACAACCCCAAAGAACCATCAATAACTTCAAAACTGAAGGTAGAACCCCCCGATGATGGGGCATAGGTATATAGGTATATAAGAACCACCAACCCTTGGAATGCTTGTGTATCGAGAGCGAATTGCTTTCAGAAGGGTCATGGAGAATCGTTGTTCAAAGGTATTCAATGCTACATTGGTCAGACCAGGACTTGGTGGGCTGAAACCACCAATGTTAATGACTCCTCTCACGGCTGCCAAATCAGCTGGCTCAGGATTTGGCAGATGCTGACTTCGACTTCACCGGTGATGGGAGGCCATTCTCTACATCCAGCAGAGCCAAAAACCAACCAAGCACGGATAAAAATATGAGAACGTTTGACAATTGCGAGTTGCATTTGTTTGAAATCCACTCCTGGTAGATGAACTTCCTTCAAGCTAACAAATTCCTTCACTTCCCACCACCAGACCCCCGCGTCGCGTGCCCTGCAGCGGCCATCCCCGGCCACGCCACCCTTTCGCCCTCACGCCTAGGCCCTTCCGCTCCTGTAAGGGTCGGGCGGCCCGTGTGGCCAAGTCCTGCGGCAGTCGAGAGAAGGCAGTCTCCGACTGCGGCAGTCGGAGGGGCGCGGTGCGGGGTGGGGGGGGGGATCAGGGAAGTTTGCTGCTTGGGTGGTGAGGGGGAAGGTGAGAGAAGATGTGCAGAATTTGGAGATTGCATGGCCTCATGGTTTTCAGAGGTCCCTAATTGGTACTCGTACTCGTACTGTACCTATAGTGTATGTAATTATAGCGATGTTGAAGAATGCTGATTACATGGGCAAACCATATCGATCTATGCACCCTGTTATATAGATAAGCACTTACAACCATGGTAGGCTGTTGATTTGGTGTTATTTGTGGCTCCAGGTGCGAATGGTAATGCAGCAGCTCGTCAGGAGCTCAGTGGAAGATAAGGATAGAGAGAGGAGGGTGGTCGGATATTTCTAGAAGGCCCTGCCAACTTCTCCCGAGAAATGATACAGGAATCAATGAAAATGCTGATGGTCGGCATTTGTTTTGAGTACAATGCCGGCCGTCTCAGTTGGGATGTCCTTTGGTCATCTCAGCCAATCAGCTGCTTGCACCCAGGTGGGCCAAAGCCCTATGGAGCTGGCCGATTGCAAGGGGGCCTCTTGGAGCAGGGATCGCCCCGCGTCGTACGTCAGGTGAGGCGTCGTACGGGGCCCAGGCAGGGCGAGCATGGCAAAGAGGTGACGTCCGACTGAGGCGTCAGGTTCAGCCTATTTGGCCACGTGACAGCTGGTTTGAGTGCGAGGGGGGTGCGGAAACCATGCCACGAAACGCCCCTAACAATCCATGTCATCCTTGCTTATAGTTATGTATCTCTAGACTGAGGCCTTTTTGGGGAGGAAGCCACTGCATGGGACCCGTGCAAGTGATAAGATTCATATATAGCATTTAGTCCAACGAATGTCCCGCTCAGCTGGCGGCCGTACGAGAAAACATGTCGCCGTCGGAATTTGCCATTTGAAGTTGCCGTCATGTGCCAAAACGCAAAACCCTCGTGGCTACCTGCCCTCCATCGGACGTGCGTTGCCCTGCTTGATGCCTGTGTGTGTGTGTGTTGGAATAGGGGAGAGGCCCCCCAAGTGATCCCAAATGACACCTGACGGGAGAAATCACGAATCATTCATGAAGAAGCAACCAAACCCCCGTGACACCATTCGAGTTTCCCCTATTTGAAAAAAAACAATGGAACCTTGGAACCTCCCCTCCTGTTCATCCCGGATGTTCACTGGTTGGTCCGGATGTTCACTTGTTGGTCCCGTTGACCGTCTCGTCTTCTCTCTAACCGAGGTGATTCGCCATGTGGGCCCCATGACGCCCTTGGGCGGTCTCGGGGAGCTCGAGGCCGAGGGGGCACAGAGGAGCGGTGCTTCACGGACTGGGCGCCGTCACCATTGTCTCTAGTGAGCTTGGCAAAAAGCCCAGGAAAATATGTGAGCGTATAATATGACAAATGAGCCCATGATGGTACACACATGGATGCCCATGGCACGTCGGACGACAGGCGAGGGGTGTTTGACCCAGCATCCAGCTTCTGTCGAGTGCCTCTTGAGGAGGGGCGTTGTAGCTGCACCCATTCCAGCGACGGCGAAACCCAGCCGATCATAAGCATCGGAAGATCGGAACCGGCGAGACGCCTTGCCAAGCTGAGGTCTGCGAGTCGAATCTGCCGTAATCCATCCCAAGATTGTGGGCTGTTCAAGTCCGCATCGCTATGTTAATGTGGTGGTTCAAGGGTTTTCATCGGTTTGTTCATCATTTGTCACCGTTCGCACTCGTCTTCGACTTCGCTGTGCTGAGGTGTGGACATCCGAAATGCTCAGCACATCGCCTGAAATACCCCGAGGCCGACCGCGCAACGAGCGAAGAGATGTCGGGTGGATATTTAGGGTGCTGTCCAACCTAGAAACCAAGGAGCTTCTTAAGATGGACCCCTTTTCAGAGGTGTTCAATAGTTCCCAGCTAGAGCCCAAGCACCTTCACCAGAACGTCATGTTGACAGAACAGCTGCTTGTCCTTTTTGCGTTTACTAATTGAAATGTTTGGGTCAAGTCTTTAACTGAGTCTGTCTGGTCTTTTGCTTATGCTCCCTGAACTCCATTTGGGCTGTTGTGTGGTTGCTTCACCTGAATGATAGGTGGAGCAATGGTCTTTTCATGTTGTGAACCCTCGTTCGATCGTCACCGTTCTTCCCAGCAATTTATGGTGAGATTAGGAACGGTGGTTGGTTGCCCAACACTTGGAACCCACGCCTGGTTCTTGAAGGCGTGCCCAGCAGAGAAACACAAGTACTGTACTATGGGGTTGTCCATTGGTAACCTTTTGGTCGTTTGGGCTATGGGAGTAGATGATTAACCCTCTTTGTACGCGGATCGTTTGGAGTATATGATCCTCTTGCTATTTGCAGCCATGGGAATAGACTGTGATTTGGCATATGCCAGCAAGAGTTCCCTCTTTGGTGCCACGGATCTGTAGAAAAACCTACAGGTCAGAATTAAGGTCCTTTGGCAGTGGCAAAGTGAACATGCTATCCTCCGGCTTTCGGGGCGGGAGCAATCATTAAGTCTGTGGCCCATCCGATGAAGTCTGGTCGTCCGCAGATTCGGGCTGGCTTTCGTGATTTCATCGCCGGGGGCCCCTGGAAGATGTGCGGTGGAGCAGGTGGGCGTAGCGATTTGGGTGTGGCGTCCCAAAAAAGAATATTGCACTCCCCAGCCTTTTCCGCAGGGCAGCCCAGCACATGATGAGCTGGCTGTGCGGCTGTGCGCGGTGTCCAGATAGGGGTGCCAGTGCGCACAGCCAGTGCTGGGTGCTGGTGCTTTGAACTGGCTGTGCCGGACAGAGAGGGCGTCGTTGCTGTAAGCTTGCTGTGCATGTACATTCTAGTCCCAGCCAGCCGCACGTCAACAGCTACAGAGTACTATAGAGCTCGACTTTTTGGGGTCCTTGGATTCTGCCTAGCTATTGAGCTCGGGTATCATGTGGGGCAACTGTTCTCCAACCTCGGCCACGCTTCGTCCGAGTCCAGGTCCGAGGAGTCTGATCACCACGCTTCGTCCGGTTCGTCGTACACCCGTTCCAAGGTCTCCAAGGTCCGCGATGCCCTGCGCACGCAGACGGTGTGGTGGGGACCGGAAGGCGTGTCGGGCCAGAGAGGTGGAGAGCGGTGTCCCACCGAGTAGCGGATCTATTTTTTGCCCATTGAGTAGCGGATGCCCTTGTTCCTAGTAGCGTCCTTTGCTCCTAGTAGTAAGGCCAGGAGCCCCTAGTAGCTTCTTGCTCTTACCCCCTGGGCCTACGGAACAAGTTGGGGATTCAACATTGCATGGGCTGCTCAAGTTGTTCAATTAACGCTCAAAACAGCCGAGCAGCTTGACACATAGAACATTGCAAAAAAGCACTCTTGGAACAACACAAACTTAGACACTTAGAATCAACATTGTTGGAGTATTTCTAGCCTTTTCTGAGTCTGTTGGCAGGTTTTGTCTCAATAGCCAGTTTGGCCAGAGAATAAGAGCAAACAACAATAATATATATTAGACACGTACTTTTTCTATTTGTTTCTTCCAGCTTATCATTATCCTAGTTTCTCAAATACCAAGTGACGGACATAGGCTTATGAAGTGTTCCCTAAACTGTTCTAATTATGCACCTAGAATAGCTTATTCCATTTTCCCCAAAATCATCTAAAACACTTAGAACATTGACATAATGTTCTTAGACTAGGGCTCTGACTCTTTTGACAATGTTCTAAGTTCTAAGTGCAAGGATATATGTTTCTTTTTCGAAAACAAAATCTATTGTCCAAGCCTATGTCCGTCACTATAAACGCGAGCAATGTTGCACTTTTGTGAGGGGAAAGCGGACTGTATGGTGGGGATTGTCCTTCACGTTAGCAAATCCTTTTTACTTCAGAAGGTGTTTGGGGTGGGCTGGGAGGGTCTAACTGCTTAACCCTTCAAAAGGGGTTGCAGTGTTGGGCTGTGGGACTCAATTTGACCAGTCTGACCCCATCATTCACCAGGTGGTCAGCTTCACTTGGATGGTTGAAGAAACGGTGTAAAGAGGGGACAGTTCATTGACCTGAGACCTGACTGCATGTACAGCACTCCTTACAGATGTGGTAAACGAGCAAAGTTCCCTAAGCAAATAAATCTCCTTGAGAACATGTAGTGAACCTTTGAACGGTCCCATGTGTGACCTTTGATTTCGGGTTTCCAATGAAGAATGGTGACAACGCGACCAACCAAGAGACAGGTCACACATGGCACCTGTCAGGAGGTCATGTGGTCACCATACCCCTTTTGCCGTGCTTCCATTTTTGGTAGTGAGCTGCTACGGCTACGAGTGCTTTTCCCATGGGGTTCTGGCTCAAACGTAGTCCTTTCTGGTGCTGCCAAAGCCAAATCTCCGCTACGACTTCGCTGGATCCGACGGTCGGATGGCGGGCTATGTGGCGCCTGCGACAAAGAACAAGCGGAGCCCTAGCCAAGAAACACAAAACCGTTAACATGTGCTTACTCGTTGGGATTAGACACATTCTCAGATAAATATTCAGATTGTGCACACCATTTGGAGTGGGACAATTCAGATACACGTTTTCATTGCTGGCTCAACCACGACAGTCATGAGATCACACTGTCCTTTCACTGATGGGTGGCTGGGGCCTACCCGATTCTAGCATGGCAATCATCTCGCTTTAAACATGTTTGGAACTTTGAACATAAATTCGAAGTTCAACCTGTTCAATCCTCGAACATGAGCCAGCCCATTGCTGAGGATCTTGGCCCTATTCGACGTCGACGGAACCTTGACGGAGGCCAGGAAGGTGGTCTCGCCTGAGACGGTGAGTTTCCTGCAGGCACTGCGGATGCTTGGGCCCAAAAGGCGTTCGCGATCCTTCGGGTTGACGTTATTTTTCGGGTTGATCCGGTGTAGTTTGCATATGTGTGTATAACATGCGTGGAGAGAGTATCATCCACGCGGATTCCTTATTTTTGTTTGGTTTGCAGATTGTGGAATATAGGTTTTTCATCGGTCAGCCCACGGGACTGAGGAATAAGATTTGCGTTGGCGTTGTTGGAGGCTCCGACCTGGTGAAGCAAAAGGACGTGTCGGCGATGTTTGTGCCAAAAGCACATGGCGAAAAACCACTTTGGACTGGAGTTGCTTAAAGTCATCCTCGGGAGTCGTCAGGTAATGTCGGGTATATATTTTCTAAGCAATATAAGTAGCAATACATGTAATTAAGAAGATGGAGACCATCCAAGATATATTGACATTCATTGACATTGAGAGCTTTGTGTTATATGTTTCAGGACGACTTGTTGCGTATATTGCGTATATGGCAACGCCCAACACATTTGTCGCGCCTGGTCGCTTCGTCTCACTGCTTCATGTGCAGGAGCAGCTGGGCGACAGCCCAGCCTTGTTTGACTACGCCTTCTCAGAGAATGGACTTCTTGCATTCAAGGATGGTCAGAAGATCGGCGAGACTTCGCACCTTGGCTGCCCGTCTCCACGTGTTCATTTTGACGGCTTTTGGCTATCAGGCCCCAGCGCAAAGTCTGGATCCACCGTGTGGGATTTGGGAGCGTCCGCAGGTCCCGGTCTAGACTCCACGAGCGGTCCACCTGTGACTCATCCTGTGACTCCAGAGGGTCATGAACGCATTTTGGACAAGTTGACGAGTGTGTTCACTTTTTGATGCCTGATGTCGTGGCAGAACATGTTTGGCGGAAAATTGATAAACGGAAACCTGCTTGCGAGGGAAGCGCAGTGAACTTAGGAGGGAATGCTCCAAGGGGCTAGGTGAAGCAAAGAGGTTAGCAGAAACTGGTAAAGACTGTGAGGTGACTCTTCTGTCGCACGTATAATAACATGACAATGTAACACACTACAATACAGTAGGTGATGGATCTTGACACCATGTTACTGTTGCACCAACGTTTGGAAGATCCGCTGACTCCACAGTGTTTCTTTGAGCGTGGCGTGCGGTGTGTTTTTCCAAGGAATTCTTAGCCTCTCCGGCAATATTGTGCAACCACAATATAGCATACGCTGTGGTTCAATAGGCTCATGTATGCGGAGGAAACTTGTTGGACCGGCATGATTTTTGAACAGCTGCGGGGTGACCAGCCAAGCCCAGCATCGGACACCGTTCAAGTGCTCGGCTGGGCTCGTGAGGATCGTTCAACATTTGGGAGAGGCGAACCTGAAAAAGGTCATCAACTGGGCCTTGAGGCTGCGCTGACTGACATGAGCAATGACGGCCTGCCCGGTGTCGAAAGCGAGGTGTTCGGAGGGTTATTGAGGCATGTGAGCACGTTCCCAAAAAATGCATGAAGCATGAGCAACCATGGAGGTCAATACCACCGAGGTATACCAAGAGACATGGTATGCCCCTCATTTTAGTCCTCCTTTTCCAGGGGAAGAAGTGATCTAGTGGAAGTTCAGAACCGGTCCCTGATCCTATTCGTTGACGCGTTGATGTTTCCAAGAATTCCCGACTTCTTCTTTGCTGTGCCAGAAGTGGTCCATGAAGCAACTAGCAGCTCCTTCCGAGGTGTTCTCTCGAGTTCTTGGACCCTAAGAGGTCTCATTTGGCAGTCGGTTGGGGTCCAGTGGTTGATCAGTTGATCCGGTTGATCTCCCCTGGAGATTCGACTGGAGGTCAGTGCTTTTCGGGTTCGCGATATTGTTTGATCTATCTATATATTATACACTACATTGTTTCACCAACACCAACTGCCTCCACATATTTTTCTCACATGACCTTGTCGATTTACACTGCAGAGCACTTTTTCACTTGAATTGCACGTTGTTGCCTTTGGACTCGTTTTCAGGTACATCGCAGACTTAGACATCCCAGTGAAGCGTGGCACGTTCGTGGAGTTCCGCCAGGGTATGCTGAATTTGTCTCCCATCGGCCGGAACTGCAGCCGAGAAGAGCGACACTTGACGGAGCGGATGGGGGCATGATCCACCATGTAGCGGTAGCTCGACCTGGGGCGACCCACAGCCACGACGACGGTGCAGCCACGACGGTGCCGCTTTTTCGCGATAGCTTGTAAGCCACGGTGGCAAGTTGCAAGACCAAAGACTCGCCAAAACGAAGAGGGTTCATGCACGAATTCCAGTACTTGATGGCTCATTGCAAGTTCCAGGCGTGTGGATTCGTAGATTTGGTAGGAACCTACAGGGAAGCATATCAAGGCAAAAAGCAAGCAAGAGCTGGAGTTTGAAATCGTACAGTTCAAGGATTGGTTGGTGTTGATTATCATGGTTGCACTATTGGACTATTGTTTTTGATCGCATCTCGCCTCGCTAACAAAATAAATAGCCATTGTAGGATGGTGGAAGACGACGGCTTGCTCTGAGGAAATGAGTTTGAGAAGTTTGATTTGGCCAGCAACATCCGAAAGACCATGGTGGAGAAGATGCACCCTGGGCTTGCTGATGAATATTTTCATACTTTGGGCTCACAGCACTGGCACTAGCACCCAGCACCAAGCACCAGCACCCATTTTCACCACCTGCCAGGCCCCCGGACCCGAACCAGCTGCGCTGATGTCAGAAAGAATTCCAGAATGTATGCCAGATGCAATGCCAATATAAATTTTAGTGGGCTGGATGGAATAATAGAATGCCACAACCGATGCCAAATAGAACGCCAATGAGTGCTACAATAGATGCCAAATAGAATGGCGGGGATCATTGGAAGGAAAGCTACCAGGTGCTTCCAAGGGGTCACTAATGGATATCTCCACACTACTTACAGTGGGCACCCCGACAGGAAGCGCTAGGTATGTTTCATGTTGTTCCTTTTTGCCCACGCGAAGCCGCTTTGGCCCGTTCTCCACAGGAAGGTGGAATTTGCGGACCTGGGGTTGACCTTCTCCATCGGCGTCCTGGCGGAAAACCGCGAGCGAACAGTGGCCTCAGCAGCGTTCAAAACAACTGGAACTTGTGGGTTCCATTGAAGAAGTATTACACTCGGTTTTAGCGTTTAGAGTAGGTAGCACAAACCCCATGATGTTCTTTGGATGGGGTGTCATATAAACAATTTTTCGATGGGGATTCAGCCATCCTACTCTGAAACCATTCTATGTTGGGTACATCGGGGAGGTTAGATCCCAGTCAGACAAGGATTGATAGATTGAGGAAGCCACTGAAACCAGTTGGCATTCAATCCCAAGGCCTTGAGGGTGTATATCGAGCACTATTCACGGCCAACATGGGCCTGCCCTTTTTGAACCAAACTGCAGTCATATAATAGGTTTCGTACGGTTTCATGGCTAATTGTTTGGGCCTGGTCCACCAAACCATGTTGGCTCACCAAGCGGAGCTTCACACACGCACGCTTTGAAAGCAGACCCCCTACACTGCTGAGACTGCAGTGCCAGTTTAGATACCGTCTTGTGGGTGATGAGAGGTTCCTTCGTTTTTTGGTTACAGTATGTACGGATTCGTGTGGACAACTGGTTCACTGGCGGCCAGCTTGTGAAATGCTCAGCCTCACTGCAACGGACACAACATTGCTTGGCACACAAAGACATGGAATCAGCATGAATCAACCCTAGATGGTTGCTCATGTCCCGCTTATCCGACTCGAACCGCGAGCGTGCCACGGAGAAAAGCTTCAGCCACCTGCGGGTTGCTAGGTGGCCAGATCTCCTTCGACGTCTTTCCCACCGGCTGGGACAAGACATACTGCTTGCGGTATCTGCCGGAGGCAGACTTCGATGAAATCCATTTTTTCGGCGACAAGACCTTTGAAGGCCTGGGAGAAGGTATATAGTTTTCACAGAATGTGTTTTTGTTGTATTCATTGATGGTTGACTAATGTTAGGCAGGGAGTCTTATTTTTATGTGTCAATTACTGTATGGGAAATATCATTGTCCCAGATTCCTTGTACAAATCTAAGGCGGCAATGATTTCGAGATTTTTACACACCCACGAACCATTGGCCACAGCATCTTGGACTCAAGTTACTACCTGCCCACGAGACTTGGCGAACGGAGCGTCTCATAGCATCTCCGGCTATTGAGGATCACGGCATTCTTGCTCGCTTCCTTCGAAATGCAGGGGGCCGACCCCATTGATGATTTTTAAGTTATATCATATTTTATATTAATTGGGTTTGCCCTATTACCTGTAACAGTCAGTAAACAATTATCACTATTTTTGAACAAGGCCTTTACTGACCATCATCATCCACTGCTACAGGTATTAGGATAGACTCAATTACCCCACTGAATTATAGTTTGATGGCTACCTTGGACCGAGCCAGGGAATGAGGTGATTTCCAACAAGGGTGGGGCCATGTTTGTCCCCATGTGGGACCACATGCCCGACAGCTCGTACCATCGAGTGGAACCAGAATTCGTGGAACCAAATATCGGCACCACCATCCAACCCGGGTGCTGAAGATGCCGGCATGAGAAGCCACTTGAACCTACTCGTTGAGAAGTCGGGGGATCGTGACCAAACTATTTTCGTGGTCAGACATCGTCAGACTATGTGCTTCCTGTGGCGATTGCCATACTGTTCAATAGTTTTTTCTCCCAGGGATTGATGATTCTCCTCCATTGCTGTCCCCAAACTCGGGTAGTGTTGATCAATTGTCATCATAACCAACCGTGACGATACGGATACGGATACGTTCGGGTATTGATCAACAACCTGGGTTCAGGGCATTGCCATATCATCAACCCCGCCGCCATGAGCATGTGTGACTCCAGGCATCGATGATCAACAACCTTTGACAACTCTGAAAAAGCTCGAAGAGCTTTTTGGCGTCCCGGCGCCCAAGTCCTTGACTCCGCCCGGCGCGCACTGAGCAAGGGTGCGAAGAAACCAGCGGAGAGGATGCAAAAAAGGGACCGCAACCATGTCGTTGCTGGGGAGCGAACGGTTTTCCGGGGAACGGGTGACGTTTTCGTGAATGGGCCAGAAGTTTTTGGAGGAAATGATTACTGGAGGTCATTGTAGGTCCAGATGCGGTCCTTGATGGATGCAGGAAGGCATTCTACCTACGGGGGAGAGTCATTACAACTGGGAAACAACTACCGTATAGTTGATCATTGATCATCCCTAACCCGCTCAACGGGAACATGCTCAACCCAACTTGATCGTCACGCCGTACAACTAGGAACATGTTAGTATTTGGCCAACTCCTACAACCCCTCACTACAGTCCCCAAACAAATTCTGCCTAGCAGTGCTAGATTCTCCTGGATGAAGTCGCCCCCCTTCCGAGCACAATCAACCTAAAGATCGACATGTAGGACTACACGGCATATTCATGCACGTGCTTAAGAACATGTCGCATGCAGATGACCAAACAGCACGGAACACCTGTCTACACGCCGACTTGCAGTGATACCACCGGGCTATGTAGACACCATGCCCCACCAAATCCCACGACCGCTGTGGTCCCGCCGGAGAGTCGGAGGGCCGTCGAATGGCGCAGAGGCCTCCGCTATGTGTCCTTGGGCAGCGGCGAGCTGCTCTTTGACCTGGACTGATGTCTCAAGGGTGTGCAGAATGGAACCCAGTGGAGACATACACATGACATCACATGACCCCGGTTTGCAGAATAAGAAATCAAACAAGTAGTGGGGGAGAGAAGGTCAACGGCGTGTTTGGGCCGAATAAGAATAAGTTGTATGCATTATACAATTATGAGTCAACTAAGGAAATAACATCCCGTGTGTCGCTCTTTTCCTTGGTGGTTGTTCATTACGCGTGGACCGCAAACTTCCCTCTCCAATCCGAGCTGGAGAGATGAAGTTCGGGGACCCTGATCAGCCGGCCATATGGACGCTTATGACATATGAGTTATAGATACTTATATAGTTTCTCCACACACTTGCTCCTTTCCGAAAATGTATGTTACATGTTTGTGCAGGTTGCACATTGCCTTCTTCAGAGTCCTGTTATGTTCCATTCTCAACGGACGGTGCACATCGGACGGAATGATTTGGGCTGCGCTGCGCGCTGCGATTTTCAAGGAGCTGCTGGAACGGCTGCGGGAAGAGGCAGGTCGGAGGGTGGCACCGCTTCGGAGGTTCCGAGGACTTTCCAGACACTGGATGTTGGTCTCAAACGACACTTAGGCAGCTTGAAGTGAGGAAGGCGCTGGGCTAGAAGGGGAAGGTCTTGATCCGGAAGTCTCACTTGTTGGCTCAGACAATCCGTGGTTTGAGTTCAAACATGCCACGTGACTGTCCTATTTCAGCACTAGTACGCGGGAGGGACGGTATTGAAACTAGACGACGAGTGGCCCGAAAGCATTTTTCATCACATAGGAAGTCAGAGTGTGAGTTATCTGTTAAGTGATCAGTGTGAAGTGTTACGTCGAGTGAGTTGAGGCAGTGTGTGGGTCTCTGTGTGTGTGTATCTGTGTCTGTGTGTGTGTTTGAGTCTCTGTCTGTGTGTGTCTCCGAGTAAGTTGAGGCAGTGCGTGGGTCTCTGTGTGTGTGTCAACCTCTCAAGAGAGCCGGGTGGTCGGGAGACATGACTCAGCTGCAGGGGCGCCAGAGCAGCTGCGAGAGATGACTCAGCCGCGAGAGATGACTCATCCGCGTACTAAAGTTGTACTGCAAAGTCGCCAGTTCTCAGCTTCCAGCTCCACAGATTGCTCCGCGTACTAAAGTTGTACTACAAAGTCGCCAGTTCTCATCTTCC